TCGGTGCTACACCAAAAGGTATCACAAGAACAGGTGTTAACTAAAATATTGCCTTACTTTTATAAGGACTCCTACTGTGGCCCTGCTCAACAGCTTAGCAAAGCTTCTAGCTATCAGAGAAGACTCCACTGCATAGCTAGTGGAAGAAAGATTCTTTTCCTAGTACTTAGCACAGGTCTTGATTTCTAAAGAGTATTTTTGGGAAGGAGGCACAGCAAGATTAAATCCCTTGGAAAAAAAAAAATCTAGCTTAAGCTACACAATAGCTTTCAGAGAGTAAGTAACTAGTTAAATAGTAGCTGGTTTATCCTCCCTCCACTTGAGTCAGAAAAGTAAAGAACAGAAGAATTTTAGAAGCTCTGGATAGCACATTTTGGGATCCATTAAGAAAAGTAAGAAATCCTGCACTACTAATGCTACAGAAGAGTTTCAACATGCACTCGTTCTTCCTAAAATTATAGTCATGAAATGATTACCTTATGGTCAAATTATTTTCAAAAAACCAAAACTCATACCATTTAACTCACAGTTGAAGATACTGACCTTGCTGCTCCACACATATATGGGGAAGTTGATGAACTGTGAATATTTCTTGACTAGATTTTTAACAGTATCCAGCTCAAGGTAATCTGATGCTTCCTCCTTCAGGACAAGGCTAAAGAAAAAAAGATTTCCATTCTAAGTGCCTGAGCAGTATTAAAATACTTCTACAGAAACAGACTACCTTCCCACTGTTGCTACTACACCAATTCAAACTTATCTAGGTAGGCACAGCTGAAGCAGTAAAACTCCCACACACCTCCTCAAAAACACAATCCTTTCGCAACAAACATTCTTAACAATTGGAGCACCGTACAAAGGTCAAAAGTCTGACTGCAAAAATTCCAAATCACATTGTTTATAATGATCAGGCTATTGATGTCCTCACTGATTTCATTTGAAACTACAACACAGAGCATTTATTTATTTATTTCTACTGAAGGCCTTCAGGAAGCAGTTTTCCTAAGAGGTAAAGCCTAGATCAAGTAAATTCATATGCTCAAAGTGATGAAGAGGGGGCTCTCAAGCTACTCCTAATTTCGCATTTGTATCAGAGTAGTCCCATCAGTAGACTGTAAGCAGCAATCTGTATCCAATGTGAATCTCTACATCCCCTGTATCAGTCTCATTTGACCACAATTGTGTTGAAAACTACGTGAGTTTACAGGCTGCTGGAAGCACCTGGAATTACTTGCCACCAGTTACTTGTCAAGATGCTTGTAGTTTTCTTAACCTGACATTTTATTAGACGAACTAACTGCACTAACACTGTACGTCTATTTTACACGCAATCACTAGGTTAGGATGCTTGCGTGAGTCTGGAAACAGTTTTATTACAGGAATCAGATAGTCTACGTACTGACAATGCTGAAGTGACGTAAGTATTCCAACAAGGCTACATATCTCTCTATATATACACAACTATTTTTTAAATCTAAGAAAACAGACTTAACACTTACCTTATAGTTGTGCCACGTCCTAAAGTGTTTCCCCTTGGGTCATCAATCACAGAGAACTCATTTGAGTCTGACTCCCAAATATGTTGCGTATCATTATTGTGTTTTGATGTGACAATAACTCTGTCTGCTACTAAGAAAGCAGAATAAAAGCCAACACCAAACTGGCCGATTAACTCAGATGTTGACTGGCTATCATCCTGCATTTCAGTCATCTTGTTTAAGAATTCACTTGTACCAGACTTTGCAATGGTACCCAAGTTTTTAATCAGTTCCTCTTTTGTCATGCCAATACCCGTATCCGTAACATGAAGCATGTTCTTCTCTTTGTCACACTGAAAAGAGAGAAAAGATTCTATTGGACGTCCCTTTGCACACCTTTAGGCGCAATACACCACTGTGAAAGAGTGATAAGGAGACTAGCAGCTAATCATTCAAGTTAAACTTGCCTGGCTGTGATAAATTGAACTGACAGTAAGTAGAGGAGTAAGGAAAACCTGCCTTTGAGGTACTTCAGTACTTCAACTACTTTTTATGAAATCAGAGACATATTTTCAGTAGACTAAAAAAAGCAGCAATCTTTGGTGAAGCAAACTGCAAGTGTCCTGGATGTAGCGCTCATAGTTTGTGTTTGCATCAGTATTAAGCAATAAACTTATAATTTAATGAGGTACTACCTCCTTTTATTCCTTCTACTGCCCCTCAGTGGATCAGATAAAACAGTTATCTCATGCTTCTTACCTTGATTTTGACAGTAAGTTCCTCATTACCAGCAAGAGCATTCTCATCAGTTAAGGATATTAACCTTATCTTGTCTAAAGCATCAGAAGCATTTGAAATAAGTTCCCTCAGGAAAATCTGAAATAGAAATCAGTGGTCAAGGACTCAAAAACACACACACACACACAAATGGTCCTAGGATGTTCTCCTGACAAAAGCACTAACCTCCTTGTTTTTATATAAAGAATTGATAATAAGTTTCATCATTCTGTTAACTTCTGCTTGAAATGCAAACTTCTCAGATTTTTCTCTGATTTCTTTTATCTGGGATGCGTTCAGGCCATCTAGCTGGATAGCTTCTTCCTCTCTGTGAAAACAATGGAAAACTTGTTCATATACAGTACCACTCTTTTTCCAGTCTAGCAACAGACTTCAATGTCACATCACCAATGAGACCCTGAATTACCAAAACAGCTGGCATAAAGTTAAATGCCCACATCAGATACGTGCAACAGTAGCCATCCTCTACTGCTTAACCCCAACCCAAGTTAAGACTCAAGTGAAAAATCCTGCTCGCAAATCAGACTTTCTTTTATAAAAAACACAAGGAAGAATACAGGCATTTTACAATCACTGTAACTCTCAGCACACAGTACACTTTACAGAAGATTAAGTGTTTCACAGTAAAAAAAAAACAAACAAACCTATGCCATCGGTAGGCATGGAACTCATATTGTTTACCACGTGCAGTTACATGCAAGAAAAAACCCCTGTTGACCTGCTCTTATGCCACTACTGCTATTACACAAAGTATTTCTGAACACAGTTACCTCAGACTCTTCTCTACTCATAAGAGAGGAGCAGTTTCAGAAATAGATATTACTCTACTGTTCCTCTACCTGACTAAATTTCTCCAGCTTAATGAAACCATATCTTTGAAGGGTTATCTCCCCCCCCCCCCCCAAAACCACCTTTTATACTTTGGGCATTAGTGGTATAAAAACTGACCCTTAAAATAATTAGAATAGCCTTAACAGTTCAGAAGTAACTAATCCACACTCCCAGCTACCAACCTCTGAACAACTTCATCGTCTGTTCGAGATCCTTCTCTGCTTTTACCCAAGTCATCTTCTACGGTCCCATCCACATCCACTTCATCAGCTCTAACTGACACTGGAAAAGCAAGAATTCCAACAAGATGGACCAGAATCCCATTCCACACCACTAGAGAACTCTTCTTCACCAGTCACAAAAATTTTCAGACTCAGGTCTGTCCATTCTTCCACCCATCCCTGGGGGAAGCTTACCCCACTCAGGGGCATCAGAAAGGGAGGAAAGGGATTGGACCCCCCCCCCAACAGCGCATGAGCAGTCCCGCGCGTACCTTCCCCTGCCCCCAACCACCTCCTTCCCTAGGGGAGGCCAACAGCAGCTCAGGAGAGAGCAGGACACGAGAACAAGCACGACTTCGCCCTCCCCTCTGTTACACCTGCGGGGGAAGGCGCTGGGACAGCGACCGCTGAAGCAAAGGGACCCTCTACGCCGACAGGGCTCCAACGGCCCCACCTGGGTCCCCGTCGGCCTCCGCCCACTCCTCCTCCCCTAGCAAGGAAAGAG